ATCATGAATAAGAAGGTTAGCGTTTGAGTTTTGCGAGTTGAATTTGATGATTTGTAAGTGTTCTGGTTAATTGAGAGGTAGCTAAGCTTATTAGTGTTGAGGAAGGGGAAAAGCTCTAATTTATTTTTAAGGGCTTGATTAATTCAAAATGTGTAAAGTCGTGTAGTAACCGAGTTATGTGATATGGAATTTGATTAGTGGCTTAGTTATTAAAATGGGATTTAATTGAGTTTTGTGATTATTTTGATTTATGTCATGTTGAGTTGATTATGATTGTATCTAACCAATCGAGGTTTTGTTAAGCAAAAAGGGGTTTTTTGCTATGGCTTGGAAATGTTTAGGGTTTGGAATAACCGATTTGGTTTTGGGAATAAAATGACGAGTGTAACTCTTTTATGAAATAAAATGAGAAATGGTTAATTTGAAAAGGTGAAATTAGTTACGAATTTATATTGTAAGAGTAATATATCTATTTATCTGTTTAGAGGTTTTGTCCTTGGTCATTGATGAAGGATGGCATTGTTGTTGTTGTTGAGTAGATTATGTATATGTATTACACTTGTACGATATTATGCAGTTTAGCATGTTGTGCTATTATTGTGTTATTGTTTGGGGGTTCCTTTCCCTCTGGGTGAAGCCGGTAAAGCGTGGCGCCTAGATAGAGAAATATAAATTTGAACAGATAGAAAATAATTTGAATATGTAGTCAAGAAAATTAAACAGATAGAAAAAGTAGACAGATAAATTAGGGGCACTCGGTCCATAAATTCAATTTTGAATTTTCTTTGCCTAAAGGTCCACACTCTAAAATACTTTATCTATAAGGACAAGCTCCTCCAAAATGACCAAACTAGCCATGTCTATATATATATATATATATTGTTTTCCATGCCCTAACAAACCATTCTCTCATTCTATCTCTTCTCTTTTTTTTTTTCTCTTTTCCTCCTCTACCTCCACAACTCCGTCTCCATCGTCGATGATCTTCTTCCTTGGCTTCCACTGCCGACGATTTCCTCTACCACTACCACCTGTTACGTTACCACTAGCCTCTTGCTGTAGCCAAAGTAGCAACGCTGTTGCATCTCTCAGCTCTCAAATCCTTTTACTGCATCTCAACACCTTTCATCTCTGTCGTTGCGCCGTCGACGAGTGCCATGAGTTATCACCATCATATTCAAAGCTCAAAAACATAGATTTGTTTCATCAGATCTAGTACAAACGTGAACGAATTTATGTGTGTGCTAGTCTACTTATGTGTTAGAAGATTCTTATTTGTGTGTTGGTAATAATAAATAGAAGCAAAAGTGTCTTCTGTTTTGTGTACATTGATTGAGATATGGTTATAATGAACTTATATTATCAATTCAATGGAAGGGTGTAAGATTGACAGTGATGATATCTAGTGAGAGCTTTGTTAAAATATATATATATATATATATATATAGAGAGAGAGAGAGAGAGAGAGAGAGAGATGTAAATATATATATATAGAGAGAGAGAGAGAGAGTATCCAATAAGAGCTTTGTGATGCGTAAATATATTATATTTTTTTTGCAAATTGAATTTCAGTGTCATGTTTTTGATTATTAGATATTTGTATTCTTAGCCTTTCTTTCCAGATCTAATCTATATACACAGAGATGTATATATTCTACAAGTTTGAGATTTGAAATAGATTATCTCTCTCTCTTCTTCTTCTTTTTTTTTTTCTTTTTTTTTCCTCCTTCTTCTTATGTTCTTTTAATAGCATTTGTAGATTTGAGATCTGAAATAGATCCTCTCTCTTTACTCATCTTTTTTTTAGTTGTTGTTGTTGTTGTTGTTGTTGTTGTTGATGATGATTTTTTTTTGAAAAGGTTGTTGTTAATGATGATGAAACAGATTTTAAAGTGAACAGATAAAAAAATATTGTTGTAAAGTTTGAACAGATAATGGAACAAACTTTGAATAGATAGTGGAACAACACATAATTTAGGAAAAAAAAATTGAACAGATAATTAAATTTGGACGGATAGATTTAAATATATAAGCGAAAATGGTGTGAATTTGAACATATATAAAAAATAAATTATAAAAATTCAATAGATAAGAAAAAAATTCAATAGATAGGTGAAAAAAATTTGAATATATAGACAACAAATTTAAACAAATAGATATAAATTTGAACAAATAAAAAATAATTTGAATAGAGAGTCAAAAAAAGTAAGAGAAAATTGGTCTAGGGTCCCTCTCTCACTTTTCGTAATGGAAGAGATCCACAAAATTATTTTTTGATGTCTAAGGTCTCTAAACATATATCAGAGAGATTTGACTCTTTCTCTCTCTCTCTCTCTCTCTCTCTCTCTCTCTTTCTTTCTCTTCTCCTCTCATCCACTGTTATCCAGATCCAAGGCAACAAGCTCTGCTCCTCCACCCTCATTTCCACCCTCCTCTACGACCTCTTCCACAACACATTCTCCTCCGACTCCTCCCTTCGCTCTGCTACCGTCGCAGACCTCCGCGCCGTCCGGATTCACGACCCGGCCTACCTTTCCTTTTCCAATAGCGCACTTTAGCAACCTCCCCTGCGACGAAGACGACATTTGCATGGTCTGCAAGAAGAAGTCGACGGAGAACGAGAAATTGGAAGAGGAGTATGCCGGAGAAGCTTGCCAAACTGTGTTTGTAGGAAACCGAGGAAATGAGGAGGAAAAAACAGGAGGAGGTTAAGATGTTGGAAAATTCACATTTCGATTACTACAAGATGAAGATGAGAATGCAAACTGAGATTGCAGGATTGTTGGAGAGAATGGAAGCAACAAAGCAACAGTGGGTATAACTCTTTTTCTACCTTCGAGTATGTTTTTACCTAGTTTTCGGTTTAGCATTTTGAATTCCGGCTACTGTCGCAGACCTCCGGGCCGTCCGGATCCGCGATCCGGCCTGCCTTTCCTTCTCCAATAGCGCACTTTAGCAACCTCCCCTGCGACGAAGACGACATTTGCATGGTCTGCAAGAAGAAGTCGGCAGAGAACGAGAAATTGGAAGAGGAGTATGCCGGAGAAGCTTGCCAAACTGTGTTTGCAGGAAACCGAGGAAATGAGGAGGAAAAAACAGGAGGAGGTTAAGATGTTGGAAAATTCACATTTCGATTACTACAAGATGAAGATGAGAATGCAAACTGAGATTGCAAGATTGTTGGAGAGAATGGAAGCAACAAAGCAACAGTGGGTATAACTCTTTTTCTACCTTCGAGTATGTTATTACCTAGTTTTCGGTTTAGCATTTTGAATTCCGGTTGTTTCTTCAAATGGAAATTGGAAGATTGTTTCTGTTGTAAAATAGGTTTTTTTTCTTTTTCTTTTTTTTCCACCTTCTTAGTAGTATAATTTCTCAAATTTCTCTGGATTCAACCCAGAGAAATTTGAATTTTCTCTGGGTAATCCCAGAGAAAATTCAAATTTCTCTAGGTTCATTTTGACCGGTTTCTTTCCAGGCGAGCTATTGATGTAAGTTTGATTTCAATTTCAATTTTGATTATGAATTGCAAGCTTCCAGGAGTATTTGGCAATGGAACTAAATTTTCTCTGGGTTGAGAATTTCTCTGGTAATTTAGCTCACAAAACGTCTATTTCGATTATTTTTTTTCATTTGAACTGAATTTTAGGTCAAATATTCAAAGAAACTAAATGCAAATTCAAAGAAACTAAATGCAAATTCAATGTACGCTCCCAACTCAGGCACTAAATAATTAACAAGTCAACTTGGTTGTTAACCACAACTTCACATTTTATTCTGGGTAGAGTACAAGAACAAGCAAAAGCATCAAATCTAGAAAGAATACAGAAATAGAATAAAAACATACTTCAAATCCAAATTCAACGAATAAATAAAATAATAAAAAAAATTATACTCAATTCTCTTAATTATCAGATCCACACTATCCCCAACTACCTCTTGAACTTCCTTTATATGTCATTCTGTTACTCACAGTTTATAGAGAAACAAACTAAAGAAGAAGAAAGCTTGAGCAAGAAGTGTTGATCATGGCAGAAGGTGAAGACGAAACTCCAGATATCAAGTCAACTCTTATGTTGGTTGTTCTCATACTCATGCTGGTGATTATGTGCATGCCACCTCCAAGGCAACGAGCTGCGTTCGTATACCGTTGCTGTTGAGAGATTTATCTCTGCAACTCATGTTTTTCATTTTCTCTTTCTTTAGTTTCTAGAACTGTACACCTCATTTTGGCTAGAATGAGAGGTATATTTTAAACAGAATTGAATTTCTCTGAATTGAATTTTCTCTGGTTTGGACCAGAGAATTTCTCTGGATTGAATTTTCTCTGGATCGAATTTTCTCTAGGACTGAAATTTCTCTGGATTGATGTTGAGGGACCTTAGACATCATGAAAATAGTTGATGGCCTTTATACTATAAAATCATAATATCAGGGACCTTAAAAAAAATACCCCAAAAAGTAAATAAATAAAAAAAAGTCAACAAATAAATTAAGAGATAAAATTGAATTTTTCAAAATAAACCAAAGTACTTGTCACCAAATTATTTTACAAATAGTGAATCTCTCACCAACAAAAAATATTCACTGGACTTAATGCCGTATACCCTTTTTAACTTGAACTTTTTCAACAATATTTTCTTACAAGAAGTAAAATTAAAAACAAAATATCTTTCAATATAAACAAAATAATTTTTCACCAAACTATTTCACAAAAATAAATATCTCACTAATAAAAAAAAATATTCACTTTTTAAATTTGACTTTTCAATAAGGCCAAGTTTGACTATCTTAAATAAGTACACACTTTTTATCTTTTTATCTTTTTTTCATCACATCATCTCTCTAATTTTCTACACATTTTTTCATAAAAAAATAAAAAATACACTTATTTAGATCATTCCAAATAACTCTAAATTTCTCAATTTAAAAGTAAAAGAGGATGCACGCGCCAAGAAAGCGAGAGTCATTTTGATGGCGAAAACATTGCGTAAATTTCGAAGTCAGGTGGTAGCGTTGAGTTTTTGTTTCTCCTCTCTCTCTCTCTCTCTCTCGGTTCCTCTGTTCAGAAGAATATACCCCAATATATATCTCTCTCAAGGTTCCTCTGTTCAGAAGAATATACCCCAATATATATAATGTATATACATACAGCCTCGATGGCCTTGTTGCTTGATTCAATTGACAACCCAGTACGCAACATTGAGACCACATCTCATATCGTTATTGTTCAACTATCATAGTCTTATATATGTTGGTAGACATGCGATCTCATTCATCATCTGCAAATCTACTTTGTTTCTCTCATGTGGGGGTTTTGTTATCATCGAAACGGTCCTCTCTCTCTCTTCCTCGCATTTCATCGAATCGAACATTTGGCCCTCATCGACCCAGCTCTTCTTTTCATCTCAAGGTAATGTATACCTTGTAATACATATAAATATATGAATATATTTATTTATACAGAAAGACATGTTTGTTTGGTTGGTTACATAGACGTTTTTTTTTTTCAAAAGTATTTTGTGTTGCTTGTTGTAGCTATCGGGATCAGGTGTCGGAAAACATGTATTTCGGCATAGGATTAGTCAAGTTAGAGCAATGGATGAGGTATGTGTATATATTTATGTGTGTATCCAGTTGTTATTGTATTAATTTTTCACTATCTGGGTTGCTCTGTTTTCTGTCTCATGGTTTGATTTTTTCTTTTATGTTCAGTTCTTGTGGTTTGATTTCATTACATGTAATTTCTTTCTTGGTTTGTTTGGATTGATATATTTGCAGTTTTTTATTCTTTTAGTTTGCTCAAGTTGAACGATCTTGTTTGGATGCTTGGAAAACTATTAGAATAGAATTATAAAAATCTTTCTTGGAGAAGGGTCGGTGGAAGGAGTTATATAGGTTATTTAGGTTGTGTTCTTCAAATTGGTGTTTAGGAGGAATTTCAATGTGGTTAGGAAGGTTTCGGAGAAGTTCAATGGGAATAGAATCAATAGGGTTATGAGGGATTTTTTTGGGTTTATTAGAGAGAGTGAGTTAGTGGATCCTCCTCTCTTTAATGCCAAATTCACTTGGTCTAATCTTCAGGAAAATATGGTTTGTTGTAGATTGGATATATTTTTATTTTCTTTGGATTGGGAGATGTTTACTAATGTGAGACAGGAAACGTTACCAAGATTAGTTTCTGATCATTGCCCCATTATGATAGAGAGTTGTCCTTTTAAGTGGGCACCGACTCCCTTTAGATTTGAGAATATGTGGTTGGAACATCACTCTTTCAAGGAGAATTTTGTGGGGGTGGTGGGACAATGCTAGATGTCATGGGTGGGAAGGCTTTAGATTCATAAGAAAATTGAAGTTGATTAAAGAAAAGGTGAAGAGTTGGCAGGGAGGTTTTTGGGGATTTGGAGACTTCAAAATCTCAGGTTGTCCGTAGGATTTTGAGGATTTGGATGCATTGGAGATGCGAGGGGATTTGTTTGAGTCAATGAGGAGAGGGGGGTGAGCTAAGATTGAAGTTGGAAGAGTTGATTTTTAGGGAGTAGGTTTTTTGGTCCCATAAGGCAAAAGGTGAAGTGGTTAAAGGAGGTGGACATTGATTCAAAATTCTTTCATAAGATTACAGATGGGAAAAAGAAAAAGAAGTTAAAGGTGGCTAGGAGGGAGTAGTTGAACATAGTAATGTCCTAACCTTGTGGCAGTGATGTTTTCACCAGAGCCAGAGGGGCTTTGTCGGAGGCTGATTTTTTTGGGTGACCAATCTTTTGAATTTAATGAAGGGAGTGCAGATGGGATTGGTAGGAGACGGGTTGATATTGTGGAACGTAGCCAAGGGATTTGCAGGGCCATTGAGTTGTATGGTGCTGAGATAAAATGGGTGGCAGACCAATTGCGTAGGGCACCAAAGAAGGTTGTCGGAGTGTTTTTGGGTTAGGTTTATGGAGGAACTAACAGTGTTGTTGTCTGGTTGCGGTCGGAGGAGGAAGGGGCATCAGTCTAAATTGTGTACAGAAAGGGGATCGTTAGAATCATGTCTTCCTACCACAATCTTCCTTTGGGGATGCATGAGATCATGTTACTTCAGTGTTGGAGGGTTTGTCAATGGGTAATGGTTGGGTTAACAGAGGGGTTGTTGCAAGTGAGTTAAGAGGCAAATTGTGGCTGATTGGGAGGGCTGTGTTGATCCAGTATTAGATGGATACGATGCGGAGGTTCAACAGGGGTCGGAGCAATGGTGGATTTCGTTTTTAGATTCATGCTTGTTGGGATGTGTGGGAGAGTTGAGGGAGAAGGGAATGGAGACTTGTCGAATTGCAGAATGGGCAAATCGACTATGGACGATTAAGGGATGCAGGTGACGGCGATGGTGATTGGAGGCCAATTTGTGCTATTTGCTTTTCTAACCAGGTCGGATGCTACAAGAATTCTGAAGAGTTGGTGGGTTTTGGAAGGCAGAACTTTGATGCTTGGTTGGTGGTCACTGGTGGCGTTGTGCACAAGGGGCAGTGACTCTTTACATGATCAGAGCTTCTGGGTACAGGTGTTGAGTCTCCCAGTTCATTTACGTGGGGGAGCCGGTGTTTTGAGCTATTGACAATCGGTGTGGAGGCTTTTTGGAGGTAGATGGAGCGACATTGAAAATGGAGTCCCTAGGTTGTGTCCAAATTAGAGTTCGTGGCTCTCCAAATGGTACTCCAGTGAGAGTTAGCATCCGGTGGGGTTAATGGATGTATATTTTGCTAGTTTGGTCGGAGGAGGGAAATCCAAAGGCCCAAGGTTGGGTTGGTTAATGTATGAGGCCACATAATGTAAGGCCCAAGGCATTTACTCTTATAAATAAAGGGGTGGGCTATGTTGGTGGGGTGAGGCAAGGCTTGGGCTTGTCGCCACAGGGCTAGGAGTTGCCCCCGGGGGTGCATCTATTTGCAGTAGAAGGGGCAAATAGACAATGTGATGAGGTGTTGGGCCAAGTGTTGGATGAGTTAGGTTGTATTGACGATTTTGGCAAAGTTGATGGCATAGGCTGTCTTGGAGCAGGTCTTAAGCTGAATCAGCAAGGTGAGTCGGATGTTCGGGGTGTCATTTGAAGGCCATGAGGATGAAGCAATGTGATAATTTACAGCGGTTGAAGCTTTATGGAGGAAAGGTGTCCTAGGTAAGGGAGGTAGATCAGGTTGGCCCTTTATTGTTGAAATGAGACTAAAAATTCTATCATGGAATGTGCGGGGTTCGAATGATAGGGATAGGTGTGTGGCGGTCAGATCAGTGTTACAAGGTGTGAGAGATAATGTGGTGTCCTTGCAGGAGACTAAAATGGAGGTGTTAGGGGGCTAAGGTGGTGAGAGAGGTTTGGGATGATTGTTTTGTGAAGTGGTCTTACTTGCCAGCTGTGGGGACGACTGGGGGGTTATTTGTTGGGATAAGAGGGTGGTGGTTATAAGGGGGAGGAGGTAGGGGGTTTCCTATATCTTGCTTGTTTCTATGTGTGGAAGACAATCACCGGTAGGTGTTCACTGGCGTTATGGTCCGGTGCATAATTTAGAGCGAGGGGCTTTTCTGTCAGAATTGGAGAATGTTGCGTTGCATTGGTCAGATCCGTGAGGTGGCCATTAGAGAAGGTGGGGAGTAGCAGGGTTTTGGGATTGAAGCGGGCGTTCTGTTCATTCATTGATGATGTGCACCTTATTGATTTGCCTTTTAAGGGAGGGAGTTTCACGTGGTTGAACGGACAACAGATGTCCCGAATTGATCGTTTTCTGGTTACTATTGAGTGGGAGGAACATTTGTTCGAGGTGGCTTAGATTCGCCTTATTCGACCAGTATTAGATCATTGGCTGCTATTATTCGATAGTGGGGGTATTTGAGGTAGGCCAACACCGTTTCGCTTTGAGAATATGTGGCTGTAGTCAGAAGGCTTTGTGGATAAGGTCCACAGGTGGTGGAATAGCTGTGGTTAGTGGGACGCTAAGCTGTATGTTGGCTCAGAAATTAAAATTGCTTAAAGGAGACCTGAAACAGTGGAATAATGAGGTGTTTGGTCATTTGGAGGCTCAGAAAGTGGAAGTGGTAAATATTTTACAAGCGTTAGATGAGCAGGAAGTTTTTGGTGGGCTTCTAGGGGTGGATATTGCTAGACGAGAGGCGGCTAGGCAGGATTATGTTTGTTTAGCCCGAATGGAGGTGTGCTTCGGACAAAAATCTAGATGCCAGTGGTTGAAGAATGGTGACTAGAATACGAAGTTTTTTCATAGGTTGGCAAATAGTTATTGGCGGGTTAACCAGATTGTCAGGATACGAGTAGCTAGTCGAGATCTAAGTTCTAGTATGCTTGTGTTGGTGACTGGTCTCTACTCCCCATCTATAGTATGTATGTCTGTGTTGGTGAGCGGTACGCCGGCGGGTTTTTTTCCAGACTTATTGGGGTCTTAGACAAGGGGATCCGATGTCGCCATTGTTCTTTTAGTTATGGAGGCTTTCAATAGATTGCTATCGAGGGCAGTTTGTGAAGGTTTGCTGGAGGGTTTTTCAGTGGGCCCATTACCTGGGAGTGCTATTGGAGTATCTCACTTATTGTATGCGGATGATGCTTTTATCTTTTGTGATGTAGTAGTGGAGCAGTTGGGTTATTTGTGTTGTGCCCTAGTTTGCTTTGAGAGAGTGTTAGGCCTACGAGTCAATTTGGGCAAGTCTGAGTTGATTCCGGTTGGAGAGGCTGATCGGTTACCGACTTTGGCAGCAGTTCTGGGTTGTAAGCTCTCGGCTTTGCCGGTGCCCTATTTGGGCTTACCTTTGGGTTCCAGCTTCAAGGTTAAAGAGGCGTGGGATGGTGTAGTGGAGCAGGTGCAACGTTGGTTGGTGGGATGGAAGAGGCAATATTTGTCGAAAGGTGGGAGGTTGACTTTGATTAAGAGTGTGCTAAGTAGTATGCTGACTTACTTTTTGTCTTTGCATGCTATTCCTATATCGATGGCACAATGGTTGGAGAAGCTTTAGAGGGATTTCTTATGGGGGAGTTGGGGGGATGAATTTAGGTATCGTTTGAAACTTTTTGGGTTGATCTCATCGGGTTTGTTGTTCTAAGGAGGAGGGTGGTTTGGGGGTGCGGAGGTTGGTAACTTTTAATAGGGCGTTGTTAGGGAAGTGGTTTTGGCGATTTGCTTGGGAGCGGGATTGTCTTTGCTGAAGGGTGATTGCTACCAAATATCGTGTGGATAGTGGGGATTGGCGGACGAGGGATATGATTGGCTCTTATGTTCGGGGTGTATGGAAGGAGATATGGTTGGGAAGGGGGGAGTTTTGGGATAGGGTGAACTTTCGGGTGGGGATAGGTGTGAAGGTTTAGTTTTGGAAGGATAGGTGGTGTGGGGAGGTTGTGTTGGAGGAGCATTTCCCTTTGATTTTTGGGATTGCTTTGGATCTAAAGGTCATTGTTGCTGCTTGTTTGGGGGATGGGGATGTGATGGTTTTGGGAGATTAAGTTGCAGCGTCAAGTTTAGGATTGGGAAGTTGACCAGCTGGGGGAGTTGTTTAGCTTGCTGTTTGGGTTAGGTGTTACGGGTTGGGGAGAGGATATAGTGGTTTGGTGTCTAGAGTACTAAAGGACAATTCTTTGTTTTGTCCTTTTATCGGAGTTTGGTGGGGGAGGTGGGAGGTGCACTTTCTTGGAGGAGTGTTTGGGTACCTCGAGTTCCTTCTAAGGTGGTTTTCTTTTTATGGACGGCTGGCTTAGGTCGAAATTTTACAATTGATAATCTAGTTCGTCGAGGGCATGTGCTATTGAACCGTTGTTGTTTCGTGTCATTTTGTTTGATGTCGCTGGGTTGGTTGGAGAGGAATTCCAAGAGATTTCTCATGATGTGTGGTGGGTAGAGAATCGTTTATTAGTTACTTTGTATAGTTGGTTGGAGAGAAGGGTGGATCCGGATTTATTTTCTTTTTTTAGACTTTTTGGATGATGTTATTGGTTAGGTGTTTGAGTTCTTTTTGATCTTTTGCATTCTTGTATTTTTTGCATTGTCTTGATGCTCTTTCCATAAAGTATTCTTATTTATCCAAAAAAAAAAAAAAAAGAAAAAAAAAGAAGAAAACGAAAAAAAAAAGAAAAAAAAAAGAAGAAGAAAAAGAAGTTAATCAAAAGATTGGAGGTAAGCCCTAGGGTAGTAGGATCATATAGTCAAAGGGATTTTTCATTTTTATTCTAAGCTGTTTTTGAAGGATGAGATGGTTAGACCAGAGATTACAGGACTTGAGTGGGGGTCTATTGATTAGGTGTATGCAAGTTGGTTAGAAAGACCTTTTGAAGAACTGGAGAATAGAGAAGCAGTTTTTGATTTTGAAAGGGCCAAAGGTTCAGGTCCGGATGGTTTTTCTATGGCTGTTTTCAAGATTGTTGGGAGGTGGTTAAAGGGGATTTATCAAGAGTTTTTACGAAATTTCACGAGATGGGGGTGGTGAACTTGTGTTGAAATGCCACTTTTATCTAATTAATCCCTAAGGAGGAGGGAGCTATCGGAATTAGGGATTTTAGGCCCATTAGTTTGGTTACATCACTTCACAAGATTTTGGGAAAGGTTTTGTCAAAAAGGTTGAGGCCTTCTTTGGGGGCTACTGTTTCTCTAACACAAGGGGCCTTTGTGAAAGGAAGACATTTTAGATGTGGTTATGGTGACAAATGAGGTGGTGGAGGAATATAGAAGTTTAGGGAAGGAGGGTCTTGTCTTTTATGGCGGATTTTGAGAAAGCTTACAATCATGTGGATTGGCAGTTTTTGGACTTTGTAATGGATATGAAAGGTTATGGAGAGAGATGTGTTTGGCGACTTGTAATATGTTAGTGATAGTCAATGGTAAATTAGGGGAGAGTTTTAAGGCTTCTCGAGGTTTAAGGCAGGGGGATCTTTTATCTCCTTTTCTTTTTATTTTGGCAGTAGATGTGTTAGGAAAGATGGTAGATAGGGCTAGAGAGGCTGTTTTGTTTGAGGGTTTACATGTTGGTAGAGATAGGATTAGCGTGACACATTTACAGTTTGCGGATGGTACTATTTTCTTTTCATCGGGGGATGAGAGACAAATGGGCAATCTTTTTTTAGTGTTGAAACTTTTTCGGTTGATCTCGGGTCTTAAGATTAATTTGGAAAACTGTGTGGCGGGGATTAATTTAGATTTTAATTAGCTTCAGTGAGTGGCCGCGCTTCTAGGATGTTGTATTTAGACACTCCCGATTAGATATTTGAAACTTCCATTGGGAGGTAATCCAAGAAGTGAATTGTTTTGGAATCTAGTTGTGGAAAAGATAGGTAAGAGGTTGGAGGGGGGTGGAGTAGGGTTTACTTTCACGAGGGGGTAGGTACACTTTGATTAAGACAGTAAGTTGTATCCCAATTTACTTTTTATCTTTGTTTAAGATTCCAGTCAAGGTGGCAAGATCTTTAGAAAAATTGACGTGGGATTTTCTTTGGGAAGGGAAGGATGAGGGCAAGGATCATTTGGTGAATTGGGAGAAAGTTTCCTGTCGTAAGTAGAAGGGGGGTTTGGCCATTGGTAATATTGTGGTTAGGAACATGGCTCTACTTGGTAAGTGGTTATGGAGATTCCTAATTGAGTGTGATTTATTATGGCATGAGGTTATTAGAAGCAAGCATGAGACTCATGTTAATGGTAAAGACTCATAGGTGGTCACTAGGGGTAATGGTTGCGCTCCTTGGAAGTCAATTTCTTAAATTTATCCAATCTGGCCCCTGTTCCTTTCTGTGAGGGTGGGTAAGGATCACTTAACTTCTTTTTGGGCCTTGGTGAATCCTGTGTTCAGAGGGATTCCACTTTTTCTGATTGCAGCAGATTGGGTGTCAGTTTATAATATGTTGTGTCACCTCGTCTATGGCCTTTTTTTTTTTTGGGATTTTCATTTTCTCCCACTGTTTTGTGTTTTTATTTCTTTCTTCTTTGTAGAGGATGTCTTATTCTCGATTCTTTTTCTGGCTTTTAAAAAAATCTTTTTGTTGCTGATCAAAAAAAAAAAAAAAAATAAATAAATAAATAAATTGAATAAATAAATAAATAAAAACCTTTGGACCGGTGGTGGAAACAGGCAAGCTTTTTCTGTTCAAATTTTATATTTAATTGAGATATGTATATATATATGTAATATGTGTATAGTATATATATGTAAATACACCCATGTACATAGAAGTAGAATGACCAATATTTGTGTCATGATCTAGATACATCTATGACTACATTATAACTGAGCTAATATGTTTAAGACTCATCCAGACATCCCTAAGTGGTTTTAATAGGGATTCCAATATGCTTTTCATGTTCATGCTTCTCACTTAGTGGTACCATGAAAATACAACTTGTCGGAAGTTGACTCCAAATCTAGAGTAATCACTACATACACACCCCATCAGAGTAATTTGATAAGGGGATTATAACAAATAATTTGTCATGTTGATTGAATAACTCATTCATTTTTTTTCAGAATTCATAAAAATATAGACTCATTAACCTTTTATTGAAAGCCTTAACAAAGGTTTTATTTTCTTGAGCCACAAAAAACAGAAGTTTCTTAGTTCAAACGCAAATACTACCGTCCCAAATTCACCTAAGTTATGAATTAAACAAATCTTTAATGTTTTAACCAATAGAACCTCCTAAAACAGAGATTTATAGGTTTGATCTAAGCTAGTAATGGGTCATCACAAAATTTAACAAGAGAACAAGATTTATAAGTTAATTTCTTATTGAAGATAAGCAAAAAAACATAATGGGGAAAATAATATTGGGATATTAGAAAGAAATAATGTGAAGACTTTTCAAAGCCAAAAAGTTATTAAAAAAGCCAAAAAGCCAATAAACTATACAAAAAAGTCTAAGATTATTTTTTCTCCCTATTTTTTCGCACTTTTTTCCATAAATGGCCACCAAGTCATCCTAAACATACTAGTTTTATTACCTCATATTTTAGCCAAAAAATAAAAAATTACTAAAATAGCCTGCTCTCAAACAAGGCCTTTTAAAGGTACAAATTGCACGAATTATATTGAAACAATAAAATAAAAGAAGGGCTATAAAAAAATTAGAGGGGCATGATGAAATTTCAGAGCGGGTACATTTAAAAATTTTCTTTAAAATAATAGTTAGAGAGTAGTGTTTTTACAAGTTAGGAGAGCACCTGCTTGCTCCCTCTGTGGTTCTGCCATTGCTTTAGATTGTTCTAATATCTTTTGGTATTTTTTTTTTCTTTACAAATTGCAATCACCACCCATCCCCTCTTTTTTCTTTGTCACACAACAACACTAGTACAAGTGCATAATGATGTACATCAAAGAGCTTGGGAGATGATAGTCTAGCTAAGTAGAGGTGAATTTGTTATGTTATCCTGCAATGCTATTTAATATGATATCTACAATAGTTGATGGTAGCGCCATAAATGATCTTACAAATTATTTGCATTGTATTGAGAAATTCATTTTTCATAATTCTATTATTAGTTCTTTTTCCCCCCTTGTTTTATAGGGTTTTTCTTCACTTGATGACTGGGAGGACACTGAGGGGATTGTTGAATACATGCTTTCATCAAGTGAAGGGGAAGATAGTGATGGAGAAGTCATGCTAAATCCACTAACCGATGTTGATTTGCCTACAGCTAGAGAGCACTTTCCTACATCTAATGATACTTTGACTGTGACTGCCCATCGGCTTGCGATGATCAGGAGAGGACGTAGGAAAAGTAGGTAAGGGCATGTGCTTAGTTCTTAGTGATTGAGTTTGTCTATTTTGAATATTTTTTATGCTTTACGTGGAAATTTGCTCTTTATTTGATAGATTTGCAATTATTCTTCTCTTCTTCGGGGTTTATTCTGTTTTGTCTTGTTTGGCCATAAGTTTGTGGGGTAATAAATCAAGAGAGACCATAAAAGGTTCTGTTGAAATGAAAAATAGAGAGAAAATTAATTACATCAACGGAAGTCTAAAAATTCTAGCTTATTAAAGATCTTTTCAATTGACGGAGCAATATACAATACTTCAATTTGCATTTACGCAAAAGAGATCGTAAAAATATATTGGCAATCCTAATTGTTGTTCTTACTACAGAACTGTGTAGGCACTATGCTCATTGCAAATTTCAGCTTCGTTGAATTGAGATACCCCACTTGAATATTTGTTACTATTGTCAGAAAATAGGTTGTCGCGAACTACTTTATCTGACTCATATAATTTTCATTCTACAATAATATTATCTTCAATTTAGAGAAAGAGATAAGGGGGGCCATGGCCCTCCCCCAGTTTTTCAAAATTCTTTTATTACCCCTCTAGTTTATGAATATTTATACAAGTTATTAGGGCTGCAAATGAACCGAGCTATTCATGAACAAGCTCGGCTTGGCTTGGCTCGGCTCGGCTCGGCTCGGCCCGGCCCAGCTCGAGCTCATATAAGCCTGGCTTGTTTATCTTTATTTAAATTATATAATAAATATATTATTTATATATTAAATAATATATAAATATATATAAATAATAATATAAATACATTATTTATATATTAAATAATATAACTAATATTAAAAAAAAATTATCGAGCCGAGCCAAGCCGAGCCGAGCCGAGCTCGAGCTTCATTAATATTAACTAGCCGAGCCGAGCCGAGCTTGAGCCCAGTTTTTTATCGAGCCGAGCTCGAGCTCAATAAACGAGCTCGATAAGTAAACGAGCCGAGCTCGAGCTTAGCAAAGCTTGGCTCGGCTCGATTCGTTTGTAGCCCTACAAGTTATATAGAATGGCCCCTCCTGAGCTTTTGAAAACTCTTTTATTGGTCCTTTGTTTTATTAGTATTCCTACAATATTTATGGCATGGCCCCAACTATTTCACATATTATGTAATAGGATAAATTGCATTGATTAGATATGTAAATCGTATTTGTTAATTTCTTATTATAAAAATCAAGGAAGTAGGATTTTTATTTGTATAAATTATATCAACCAACAAAATGTCTTCAAATGTTAGTCTAATAAATTATACTAAGATCTTGATCATATCTCAAAAATTGTATAAAATAATTAGGATAAGCATTAACAAATCATTGACATAGATCTTTTTATTTTTTATTTTTGTTTTTTGGGTGCTAATTTTTTTCATAAAGCTTATGTACATCTCTTGTGATGGGATTGGCCAACGCTTATGACATAGATCTTTTTTCATTAATTTTTTTCATAAACAGTGGCTGAGGAGGAGGATTGCCATGGGATTGGCCAACTCTTGTGATGTTCCGACTAAAACTTTTGTAATTAAAGATAACAAAGTGGTGAAGAAAGGTAAAGAAGAAAGCTTTAAGAGTGTGGATCATACCCCTGCTAAGGTTCTGTCAGTTGGAGTGATTGAAAACTGTGGAGGTTCACCAATTGGATGCAATAACCAAATAGAAAATCCTCAAAATGTTTGTGGCAAGATATTGACAGATCCTAGTTTAGAATATGATTGTAGTGTTGAAGATTTGAACACTGAACAGAGAGCAGCAAAAAGAGTTCGGAATGCAAGAAGCAAGCGATGTGCGAAGCCATCTAAGGGTAACTTTCATGAATGTATATATTGGGAATGTAAAGTTTAGTATGTAGCTTTTACCTTGTTATCTTGCAGACAGTCTTGCTATTTTTTTGGTGGGGAAGGTTAAGTTGATTCTGTTCTCTCTCTGTGTCTGTCTCTCTTTGTACTTGACACGATTGTAAAGAAATAAAGTTGTCTTGTAATGTTTATGATTGATGGGGAAATGTTATGATCTTTTGCATTCCATGGCAACTGAGAGTGTGAAATGTTGTACTTTTGTCCCAAATTCCCAATAGCTTTTGCTAATCAAAGCCCCAAAACTAGTAAGGGCACTCGTGCCCCAGTAAGTTATACTTTTGCCGACTAAATAAAGTAGTCGGTGTATCACCAAGCACATTTGGCAACTAAATAATTAGTCGTTAAAATTATTAATTTTGGCAACCAAAGGATTTGGTCGCGAATAGGTCTATTGCCGACTAAAGTTTTAGTTGCGCAAACATTTCTTTTGGCGACAAACATGTTTGGTC